TCCACGTATTGAGGGAGTTTTGTTTCCTAACTTTGTGAGTTGTGAGTTTAATGAATAATGGTCCGGACCTTTTCAACGAATTACATGTGAACTTTTATTTTGTAGTTTAACATGGGCAAGTGTACATGTCGAGTCCTTTCTAAAATATTGGATATTTGACAATGGATTTCGAACAACTTATAATTGTATTGTCCTTGCGAGTATAAGGCTGTCCGCTGTGTAACACCAGTCGCAAATTCATAATGTTCTGTCAGCTGTCTCAACCAATGAGAATTAGCTCGTTTGTTACTTGGAACGGTATGTGATTATAATATTCGTTCAATATCAGACGATAGTTCATGATGTGCTGTCTCTACCAATGATCAGGCCAGTTTCTACGCATTTCGACGAATAGATCGTTCGTTTAATGAGGCTATACGTTCGTTTTCGTTGAGTTGTGCATGTTAACTATTTGCACTGAGCATCTGGTCCTGGATTCGGTGATATGTCAACGTGAACCGTAAGATCGATGACAAAAGGCCTGGATGGAAGCGCCAAGCACGTAGTTCCATGTTTAGTCTGCTTGGTTAGGACAAACGACACAGCAAAGTGAGATTCCAAATTAAGTCTCCTGATAACAACACAAGCAGCAGCAGGCAGTATATATTCACATGAAAATAATCCAAATAACAACCCATCAGCGTTCAGTCGAGGGATATCCTTTGAATAAGAGTCCTTAGGAACAATATAAGGTCTAGTAGAATAAGTCTTACAATCAAGTAAGGCTAAAATTATAAAAAATTTTAAGAGCTTAAAACTAAAAGTGTGACCGGCGGCCATATTGATTATATATATATATATATATATATATATATATATATATATATATATATATATATATATATATATATATATATATATATATATATATATATATATATATATATATATATATATATATATATATATATATATATATATATATATAAAAGTGGGCAATTTGTCGGAGCATGCGCGAAAAAATCAATATGGCGACATATATTAGGAGTGCTTCGTGAATTTATCTGGTTTTAAAGCTGATAAAACAACATTTCAATGAACAAAAACTTTGTAATATTTAGTGGAAAACATTAAGCTATGCAGTCCAAAGGTTTTAAATTAAAAATAAGTACTTTTGCTTTATTTTATTGCTTTTTATGCTTTGAAAACAGGCAAGCTCATTTTTTGGCAAAAATCTAATCTAATATTTTACCCATCATTTGTTTAATCTGAACAGAAATAGATAGAACACTTGGCTATATAAGTTACAAAGGTATTGTTAGCTGATCTGAAAGATTTCAGTATTCCTGGTACACATTTTAACAAAGAATGAAATGTAATTTCAAAAATTAAATATGCATATCACAAACAATAGTTTTTATTAGAACAACACATAATAAGTTGTTATTTTCTATTTTTACAAAAACAAGTTTGGAAACAGGATTTAGTCCTCCAGCTTGATGTCATATTCCATTTATTTGGATATTGCAATAAAGGAATGTGAAATAATAATTTAATCTTGTGCAAAATTTGATACCAACACACATGTGAACAGATACTATCACCTAAAAATAAAAGAAAACAGAACTTAAATTTATCATCTAATGCTATGAAAAAAATCTTAGATACTACAGGCATATAGTGAGCACAATTCTTTAACAAACTCACTAAAATAAGTTAAGTTATACTATGATAAGAGGATGGCAATAGATAACAACATCAAATGTTGTCATCTTCAGTGTCCAAAAAAAGTGCCGCGCGCATTTTTCGTGGTCGCATAACTGGTATTGCCACAAACCCAGGTGAAAAAGCAATTAGAAAAACCTGGTTTTGGGTGATGAGCATAGTCAAATTCTTGACTTATTCAATTTTCTAAGTTTTTCCAGGTAAACAGAATAAACATTGAAATAAGCCCCATTCGGGACCTCATAGAATCCAAAATATCGTGTATGGACCAGACTTTTTTCAATTTTCTGTGATTTACATAACACTAGTTATAATTTAAGGGTCAACCAGTATTGTTCAAGACATATTTTCCTTCCAGAACACCTTTTCAAAATACTAACCCAAACGTATCAAAAATAGTGTACATTTACAAGGGCAATTTCAACCCTCTGGCACATTTTTCCCATGAATGATTTCAATTCTAATAAAATGACTATAGATAAAACTTTGATTTAAAGCTAGTTTCAAGTGATGAGAATACCCTAATTTTTAAGCTATACCTCAAAGAAGATGGGCCATTTCAACATAAACATTGAAATATGGGCATACTGACAGCTCTGTCACACGTGTAGTTTGACATTAGCAGCCCTTCTGAAACTTTTTAATGAAAGTATAATTCACAAAATTCACATTTTCACTTCTTAACATCTGTTTTAATCCAACTAGCTCTGTAGGCACGAGCGAAATTTAGTGTTGATGTAAATATCCATTTAGTTCATGTTTCCCCGGTGAAAATATAGTCTATTGCAACGCTGATTTCGACGTACTTTAGCTTTTCAGAAACCGTTGGCCTTCCTCACTGAGATTATGAACTGTTTCACAAACATAGTTGATAGTAAACAGCTAAAATATTCTCCGAAAGTCTATATTTTTGCTCTTCGACGCGAAAATAGCAACTCAAGAAGAAATGAGCCGCTATTTTTGGTCAGCGTCGACAAGTTGCCCACCTGTTCGTTCCCAGGACTTCTCGGCTGCCTGCGTTGCCGTAAGCCCTCAATCTCGTTCCCCGAGCCTGCGATCCTTGGGAACGAACCGAAGGCTCTGGGATAATCCGTTGCCGGAAGCCAGGAATCCTGGCTAAGACCGAACTGCGCATGCGTGTGTCATAAGTATTGTTTTGTATTGTTTTGGTTTTGAAATATATAAAAAAATAAAAATGTCTGCAGAAAGTATCACTTTATTTCATAGCGTATTGGAAAAAGCGTTACAGCAACTAGGTATTAAAGCAAAATATTGAACTAAAGGGATGTCAGTACGAAGCAGTGAAGGCTGTGGTTGTTGAATGATCGGAAGGACACATTTTGCGTCTTGCCTACTGGCCATGGAAAGTCACTCATGTCGTGAAAATACGAATTCTACTGGTAACTCATTAATTGTTATTTCGCCATTAAACGCCTTAATGGTCGATCAGATTACAAAACTGAAAAAGCACATGGATGTTAGTGTTTTGAACTTTGAAGGCCAGCAGGGAAACGTTTGAACGTTACCAAAGCACAGCATGCGGTCAGAGAGGGGCTCTATTTTAATATCATCAGTTGCTCATCCAAGTCAGATAGTATGCTCACCCAGAAGCCTTATTGGAAGATAAGAAATTTTTTCAAAATATTTTGTCAAAATTAAGTAAAAATCATATCAAGATTCTGTTAAAGCTATTGTGATTGACGAAGCACATCTAGTGGAAGAATGGTAAGAATTTTATTTTAATATACGATACTACTGAGTTTTAAATTATAATATGGTTGAGGTGCAAAGCATGTAACATTCAGACTGAGCCTGAACTATTATGATTATAGCAAGTTTCAAATTTCACTTTTCCTATAGTTTTATTGGTCGAGATTACGGTAAGTCAAGTGAGAGTCAAGAAATTAAGCTGTCTCCCTCGGAGTTCCCTGCGAGCAGAGGTCCCTAGAGCACCGGAGCCAGCAGGGAACCCTTGGAGAGACTCCACAGATGCTCGGCAGGGAGATAACACATTATCCAGGGCAATCTTGTTCCCCAAGCCTGCGATCCTCGGGAAGGAATGCGAGGCTCTGGGATAATTTGTTTCAGGGAGGAATCTGATTGGCTGTTGATATAGAATGCGCAGTTCAGTCTTAGCCAGGATTCCTGCCTTCCGGCAATGGATTTTCCCAGAGCCGCACATTCCTTCGTGAAGATTGCAGGCTCGGGAAACGAGATTGTGTCTAGGGGTGAATAACAAATAATCACACATGTGCATGTCATTATGTTATTTACATTGTTTTCTGGTTGAGAACTGTGAGTTGGTATGATATTGACTGGTCTCCTCATGAGACTTCCTGTTATGTGCACCCTCAACCACCATTGGAAAACATTGGTGGTTGAGGGTCCACAAAACAGGATGTCTCCTGAGGAAACCAATTGACTAATAAGTAATAATTATACCATCAATATATTTATCAACCAATTATTATTACTCTGTCTAATGATCTCTAATGCCATATGATTTTACTCATATGGCACTATAGTCATGGGGTCGGAGGGGATAGTACTGGAGAGTGGAGAATACATGATGATCATAATTATTTGAGTAAAATATTTTGTGTTAATCCTTTAAGTGGTTTAATAATGTAAGACAGTTTTACTCATCAAGTAATGAGTGCTGGCTTACTCAATGGATAAAAGAGTAGGAAGCATGATGATGGTGCATTGCAGCTGGACTTGTTAATCATTAACATAACTTATATTTTTCTTGTTTAGGAAAAGTTTTAGACCTTGTCATGGGAAAATTGGTATGCTGACAAGTATTTTTCCCAAGATCACATTTTTGGCAATGACAGCAACTGCCACATTGCAGATGAAAAAGGATATTACAACCAGTCTCGGATTGATCAATCCAAAACATATTGAAATAAGCCCTGATCGTCCCAATATCTTCTTCAGCTCTTTGCCAGGACCTAATAGAGGGGATGATAAGCTTCAAGTGGACCCTTCAACCTATATTAACTCCTCCTGATTGCAGAATTAAAAGTGAAACAGTTCAATTTCCCTCTGACATTAGTTTATGGCAACTTGCAAGTTATTGGAGAATGTTTTTTGTTTGCAAGCAATTTGATGGGGCCTTTGCAATATGAACCAGTACAATCTAGCAAACATTCAGTTAACAGACTATTCACACAGTTTCATGCGCAATATCCAGAACATGAACAAGAAAGGATTATACTGTACAGGATCTTGTAAGTGGTCAGTCCAAGTTAAGGCTACTATTTGTCACTGTGGCTTTAGGGATTGGTGTTGACATGCATGACATCCGTAGGATTATTCATATTGGAGTCCCTTGTATAATTGAGGAGTATTTTCAAGAAGCTGGTAGATGTGGACGAGATGGACTTCTAGAGCATCTTCCACAATATACTACTAACAACTCATCATCTTTTAACATTTCACCCCCCATGAAAGAGCTAATTGTAGCTGTGGCAGATAAATGCAAAAGGGAAATAATTCTGAATTACTTTGGTTACAAACTAGCAAAGAGGATTAAACCAGAGCATACTTGCTGTGATTTTCGTCAACAGAAATGTAGCTGTGATGACTGTGTTTTAAGTTCAGCTGCTGAAATGTTAGAAAATGCCAATTCTAGTGTATTGGACCCATCTATAAATATTTTAATTTGAAGAATTTGGCAAACAAGTTAATTAAAAATATATACAATTTTCCCAATAAATCTCTGTCATATATATCGTAGAGGCATAATGATGGTAATCACGGGTGCATTGGGGGGCACAATCCCCCCCCCCCCCAATCTGCCTTATGACCACGTTTGGGAGATGCTTAATTCCGTTGAAAATGTAGGGGGGTGGGTAAAGTGTGCCAAACATAACATCTGACTTATACGACAACTTTGTCACAATACATTGAACATTTTAATGCAACAAATGCTACATAGGCTAACATTTTAATATTTTTACAATGCGTTGTTCATATTCTTATGAGCTACATGGCCTACTTTTTATTCAGCTAGCAAATTTGATTGTATTTCTGGGGGTTGAAAGGTCTCAGATTTCATAATTTCCTGGGGGAGCATGCCCTCGAACCAGACAGATTTTCAGATTTTGCACTGGAGGGGTGCCGAAAATCCAGGGGGAAGGTGAGCCAGAGGGTTTGTAGCACTGCCAAGCAAATTTTACATACAATATTACAAATAAATTTGCATATTAAACCACTATTACCATTGCATGTTCATCATTATATTGCAAAACATTTATTCATAACCCTGGAGATTTATTTAAGCCACCTCACTAGTGTATACTTATATTGCCAATAACTTGGCAAACTTTAAAACTGTCTGTAAATGAATTTCATCTTGAGACAGCTTAACTGTACACAAATCTTTTGAAGTTTTGCTTAATATTTCAACAGACTACATCTAAGTGATTCAATTGCAACAAGATGATGCCATTGGGCAATGCTCATTATGCCAAAAATACATTGTCTTGACTGTGCACAAGTTTTCACAAACATGGACAAAAAGATAGAACAAGACTTTTCCAGATCATATCTTGATTCACTAGGATTTTACTTGAAAGACCATGCATACAGTATGTCTGTGTCTTTTGGGAGCAATCCATGTGCTGTTGTTTACCAAAAAATGCTGTGATACCAACTTCATATACCAGCAGTTTTATTCAGAATAGCCAAATTTGATCTGGGGAACAAAAACAAATCAATATGTGAGCCTAGCCCTGCCATATTTGTTACAAAGCTATTGTTTCTAAGAAGCTTATAGTGCTTTTCTTCTTTGGAAATTATATTGGAATGCAGTTCAATGGAAGCAATATTAAAATATTGCTAATATATTTATTATGAATTTGTATCCACTTCCTACACTTATGGCACAAGTATGCAGACTACAAAAATTATAATAAAAATTGCCAGTGTGAGATCATTATTTAGCAATTAAGAGGAAGTTGCTTATTGAGGAAGATAGTTCCAAAATATAACTTGTAAGGCATATAGTTTAGTATAAAAATAGGCAAATAGCTCGGTGTATTTTACAACACGAATGACAAATTTATAAAAAGTTTCACGCCCTATTTTACTATTGTGAAAAATATAACGTTTCTTTATATTTTCCATGTACAATTACAGAAGATAATTTACCTTAGCACTGCTAAAATTGCACTGAAATCGTCGCTGAAATCCAAAAACAATATTAACCCACTCCTAAAAGGCAGCCATGTTGTTATAAAATTATACGATTAATAATTAATTTTCGTTCTATTGCTACATTCCATTCCATATCAACGGCCAATCAGATTCCTCCCTGAAACGGATTATCCCAGAGCCTTCGGTTCCTTCCCAAGGATCGCAGGCTCGGGGAACGAGATTGGTAAGCCCTGGGACAAGCCGAGACAGAAGTGATTTGATTGGTCGTTGGAAATAGAGTGAAATATGAAAAGTTTATTCGTCAAGTGGATGTTTATATTTGCAATATGGCTGCCTTCAAGGACTGCGCCTTCGAAATACGAAGAAATACAAACGTAAACTGCTTGTTTTCTATGGATTAATGGAGATAATTTGCAAACAGAAAGAAAGAAAATAACAGAATGGACAATTATAAAGTAGAAGTAAGCAACAATATCGAAGAAACGTCAATTATGAAGCCATTAAAAAGTTTCTTCATTTTAACATTTTCTTGTTATAAAGTTGTCTATTATTAAAACATTGTGCTCAAGTATAATTGTAAAATTTTATGCACACTGTAAATATAAAATGTTTAATAATATATAGTAACGATAGTAAAGTTTTAATGGTGTAATATATTGTGTTTTATTAATTATTATGCTTTTGGTATTGGTCACTTGGCTTATTTAATACACGCCTATATTAAAATGGCCCTATATTAAAATGGCCAATTGGAATTTATAAATATAGCATGTGGAATATTATGGGTGTATTTTACTATTTCTGAATTTTCCTCAGTTGTATTATTAGTGAGTAATTTTAATAGCTTTTAATTAAATACAGTGAATAAGCTTATAAGCATATTCAATTGCACCAGTCATTTGAATCCTTGCACCTTTGGCATAATGCAAGGACAATCGCCTCTTATTCACTGGTTTATCATTTTTTGGCAAACAGGGAAGACACTTACTTTCAGTGTCCAAGTGGGGAATGAATGAGGTCATGGGGGGGGTGGGGGGGGGGTCACTTAGTCTTTTATATAAATGTTGAAGTAAAGCAGTCGGCTATATAAATGCTGAAATAAAGCATTTGGCTAGGAAAGGCATAGTCTTTTATATAAATGCTGAAATAAAGCAGTCGGCTAGGAAAGGCTTTTACAGAACCGTAAAGGAATGGTTTGGGAAATTTCATGTAAAAATTCCAATTGAATACCTGAGGATGATAGGACCGAAGAAATTTACCTTGCCATTTTGTCGTGGCTGCAGGGGACTTCACTGAATTTCACACACCAAACTAAGTGAATGCCCCTGGTATGCCCAAGGTGGGGGTCTCGAATTCTTGTGTCATATTGGATGAGATCATGTATTTACACTGTTTTCTGTCAACAGTTCAGAATAGAATACTTATTCTGTTGACTTATTGCAAATCTTGTAAGAATTGAAATTATAAAATAAACTATTAATATTGACAAAACTGAAAATTTGTATGTGATATGCAGGCTTCTAGCCAGGAGACACCCTACCATGTCTGTATAAAAATTGATTTTAAACTATTACAAAAATGACATAAAAGTTGTATTGTATTCTGAAATTCTGGTTTAAGCCTCCTGCTATAGATACAGTCTATTGAATACAGTCATATTTTTAATGTGGAAATGTGTAGTAATCTATTTATAAATCAGAATGTTAACCCCACCTCCCTTACCATCACTCAGGTATACATCCTGTTGTGGTGATTTAGATTGGACACCTGGATAGATACTAGAAAACACTTAGTCACACTTCTGGATAATGAGGGGGGGGGGAGCAATGAACTCCCTGATGTGAAATTGTAAGAAATTTAAACTTTTTTGCTCAAATTTACGCACGCATGATTTTGTATACATATAAATATAGATTTAAATCTAGCAATACAAATCCAAAACTCATGGCGTCATCCATGACATCTATCTATAATTTATATTTTCTTGAAATGTTAGGTGATTCATTGTTATTGCCGTTGTTGTAACCCAGTAAACAGACACACACCGCCGTTTAAACATGTCACATGTTCTTGTTCCTTTTAATATACAACATACGTCGATCGACGATAAAGCTTCGAATTATTTCTCTTTAATTTCCAGTCCGGCTTTGTCCAGTCTTTGAAGTGACTTTACAAGCGCGTGTTGAAACAGGTCATCTGTACAAGAACCCATGATGTTTCGAATCACAGCGGCCACTTCGAGCACATTTCGACCCGATCATGTTTACATTATACATGAAAATTGATACATGTAATACGAAACCAAAATATGGTTGTACTTTGACGAATATTAACGATATAACGAAATATAAACCCCCAATATGTATAATTCCATTAGGTGGTCTGCACATATTCCCTTGATGGTGGAAAATACATCGAAACAAACGAAAAATCCAATATTTTCTGCTCACCAACACGTCTCCACTCCTCAGTTAAAATTAGTGCATAGTCAGCATTTTTAGCTTGCAGCACAACGCGTTTACTTCCGGAAAACACCAGAATTTGCGGTGTTCCGGTTTGGCTTGTCCCATTGCTTACGGAAACGCAGGCAGCCGAGAAGCCCTTGGAACGAGGATGCCAGGAACCTTGTCCTCAGCGCCAGTTACTTTGTCCTCAGCGCCAGGAACCTTATTCTCAGCGCCAGGAACCTTCTCCTCAGCGCCAGGAACCTTGTCCTCAGCGCCAGCAACCTTGTCCTCAGCGCCAGGAGCCTTGTCCTCAGCGCCAGGAGCCTTCTCCTCAGCACCAGGAGCCTTGTCCTCAGCGCCAGGACCCTTGTCCTCAGCGCCAGCACCCTTGTCCACAGCGCCAGGACTTTTTTCCTCAGCGCCAGGAACCTTGTCCTCAGCGGCAGGAACCTTGTCCTCAGCGCCAGAAACCTTGACTTCAGCGGCAGGAACCTTGTCCTCAGCGCCAGCAGCCTTGACTTCAGCGCCAGGAACCTTGTCCTCAGCGCCAGGAACCTTGTCCTCAGCGACTGGAACCTTGTCCTCAGCGCCAGAACCCTTTTCCTCAGCGCCAGGACCCTTTTCCTCAGCGCCAGAAACCTTGTCCTCAGCGCCAGAACCCTTTTCCTCACCGCCAGGACCCTTTTCCTCAGCGCCAAGAACCTTGTCCTCTGCAGCAGGAACCTTGTTCTCAGTGCCAGAAGCCTTCTCCTCAGCCCCAGGAACCTTGTCTTCAGCGCCAGGAACCTTGTCCTCAGCGCCTGGAGCCTTGACGTCAGCGCCAGGAACCTTGTCCTCAGCGACAGGAACCTTGTCCTCAGCGCCAGAACCCTTTTCATCAGCGCCAGGACCCTTTTCCTCAGCGGCAGGAACCTTGTCCTCTGCAGCAGGAACCTTGTTCTCAGTGCCAGAAGCCTTCTCCTCAGCCCCAGGAACCTTGTCCTCAGCGCTAGGATCCTTGTCCTCAGCCACAGGAACCTTTTCCTCAGCAGCAGGAGCCTCGCCCTCAGCAGCAGGAATGATGCCTCAGCAACAGTGACCTTGTCGTCGGCGCCAGGAACCTTGTGCTCAGCGACAGGAACCTTGTCCTCAGCGACAGAACCCTTTTCATCAGCGCCAGGACCCTTTTCCTCAGCGGCAGGAACCTTGTCCTCTGCAGCAGGAACCTTGTTCTCAGTGCCAGAAGCCTTCTCCTCAGCCCCAGGAACCTTGTCCTCAGCGCTAGGATCCTTGTCCTCAGCCACAGGAACCTTTTCCTCAGCAGCAGGAGCCTCGCCCTCAGCAGCAGGAATGATGCCTCAGCAACAGTGACCTTGTCGTCGGCGCCAGGAACCTTGTGCTCAGCGACAGGAACCTTGTCCTCAGCGACAGAACCCTTTTCATCAGCGCCAGGACCCTTTTCCTCAGCGGCAGGAACCTTGTCCTCTGCAGCAGGAACCTTGTTCTCAGTGCCAGAAGCCTTCTCCTCAGCCCCAGGAACCTTGTCCTCAGCGCTAGGATCCTTGTCCTCAGCCACAGGAACCTTTTCCTCAGCAGCAGGAGCCTCGCCCTCAGCAGCAGGAATGATGCCTCAGCAACAGTGACCTTGTCGTCGGCGCCAGGAACCTTGTGCTCAGCGACAGGAACCTTGTCCTCAGCGACAGAACCCTTTTCATCAGCGCCAGGACCCTTTTCCTCAGCGGCAGGAACCTTGTCCTCTGCAGCAGGAACCTTGTTCTCAGTGCCAGAAGCCTTCTCCTCAGCCCCAGGATCCTTGTCCTCAGCGCTAGGATCCTTGTCCTCAGCCCCAGAAACCTTGTCCTCAGCGGCAGGAGCCTTGTCCTCAGCAGCAGGAATGACGCCTCAGCAACAGTGATCTTGTCGTCGGCGCCAGGAACCTTGTGCTCAGCGACAGGAACCTTGTCCTCAGCGACAGGAACGTTGTATTCAGCGGCAGGAGCCTAGACCTCAGCGACAGGAACCTTGTCCTCAGCGCCAGGAACCTAGTCCTCAGCGATAGGAACCTTGTCCTCAGCGCCAGGAACCTTGTACTCGGCGCAAGGAACCTTGGTCTCAGCGCCAGAAACCTTGTCCTCAGCGCCAGGAACCTCGTCCTCAGCGCCAGGACCTTTTTCCTCAGCGCCACGACCTTGTCCTCAGCGGCAGGAACCTTGTTTTCAGTGCCAAAAGCCTTTTCCTCAGCCCCAGGTGCCTTCTCTTCAGCGCCAGGAGCCTTGTCCTCAACTCCGGGAGCCTTGTCCTCAGCGACAGGAACCTTGTCCTCAGCGACAGGAACCTTGTCCTCAGCGACAGGAACCTTGTACTCAGCGGCAGGAGCCTAGTCCTCAGCGACAGCAACCTTATCCTCAGCGCCAGGAACCTAGTCCTCATTGACAGGACCTTGCCCTCAGCGCCAGGAACATTGACTTCAGCGCCAGGAACCTTGTCCTCAGCGCAAAGACCCTTGTCCTCAGCACCAGGAACCTTGTCTTCAGCTCCAGGAACCTTGTCCTCAGCGCTAGGACCCTTGTCCTCAGCGCCAGGACCTTTTTCCTCAGCGACAGGTACCTTGGCCTCAGCGGCAGGAACCTTGTTCTCAGTGGCAGGAACCTTGTTCTCAGTGGCAAAAGCCTTTTCCTCAGCGCCAGGAACCTTTTCTTCAGCGCCAGGAGCCTTGTCCTCAGCTACAGGAGCCTTGTCCTCAGTGACAGGAACCTTGTCCTCAGCGGCAGGAACCTTGTCCTCAGCGGCAGGAATCTTGTCCTCAGCACCAGTAACCTTGTCCACAGCGCCAGGAACCTTGTCCTCGGCGACAGGAACCTTGTCCTCAGCCTCTGGAACCTTGTCCTCAGCCTCTGCCACCTTGTCCTCAGCGGCAGGAACCTTATCCTCAGCGGCAGGAACCTTGTACTCAGCGGCATGAACCTAGTCCTCAGCGCCAGGAATCTTGATTTCAGCGCCAGGAACCTTGTCCTCAGCGCCAGGAGCCTTGACTTCAGCGCCAGAAACCTTGTCCTCAGCGCCAGGAGCCTTCTCCTCAGCGCCAAGAGCGTTGTCCTCAGCGCCAAGAACCTTGTCTTCAGCGCCATGAACCTTGTCCTCAGCGCTAGGATCCTTGTCCTCAGCGGCAGGAGCCTTGTCCTCAGCAGCAGGACTCATGCCTCAGCAACAGTGACCTTGTCGTCGGCGCCAGGAAACTTGTGCTCAGCGACAGGAACCTAGTCCTCAGCGACAGGAACGTTGTACTCAGCGGCAGGCGCCTAGACCTCAGCGAGAGGAACCTTGTCCTCAGCGCCAGGAACCTCGTCCTCAGCGCCAGGACCTTTTTCCTCAGCGCCACGACCTTGTCCTCAGCGGCAGGAACCTTGTTTTCAGTGCCAAAATCCTTTTCCTCAGCCCCAGGAGCCTTCTCTTCAGCGCCAGGAGCCTTGTCCTCAACTCCGGGAGCCTTGTCCTCAGCGACAGGAACCTTGTCCTCAGCGACAGGAACCTTGTCCTCAGCGGCAGGAACCTTGTACTCAGCGGCAGGAGCCTAGTCCTCAGCGACAGCAACCTTGTCCTCAGCGCCAGGAACCTAGTCCTCATTGACAGGACCTTAGTCGATAACTAATAATTTCTTCTAAAATCCATGTAAATTGTCATTGAAAAGCCCATTTTAGGGAATGTCAATTAATAAATTCAATTCAATTCAACCTTGCCCTCAGCGCCAGGAACCTTGACTTCAGCGCCAAGAACCTTGTTCTCAGCGCCAGGAAACTTGTCCTCAGCGCCAGGAGCCTTGACTTCAGCGCCAGGAACCTTGTCCTCAGCTCCAGGAACCATGTCCTCAGCGCCAGGACCCTTGTCCTCAGCGCCAGGACGTTTTTCCTCAGCGACAGGAACCTTGGCCTCAGCGGCAGGAACCTTGGCCTCAGCGGCAGGTACCTTGTTCTCAGTGGCAAAAGCCTTTTCCTCAGCGCCAGGAACCTTTTCTTCAGCGCCAGGAGCCTTGTCCTCAGCTACAGGAGCCTTGTCCTCAGTGACAGGAACCTTGTCCTCAGCGGCAGGAACCTTGTCATCAACGGCAGGAATCTTCTCCTCAGCGCCAGTAACCTTGTCCACAGCGCCAGGAACCTTGTCCTCGCCGACAGGAACCTTGTCCTCAGCCTCTGGAACCTTGTCCTCAGCTTCTGGCACCTTGTCCTCAGCGCCAGGAACCTTATCCTCAGCGGCAGGAACCTTGTACTCAGCGGCAGGAACCTAGTCCTCAGCGCCAGGAACCTTGATTTCTGCGCCAGGAACCTTGATTTCAGCGCCAGGAACCTTGTCCTCAGCGCCGGGAGCCTTGACTTCAGCGCCAGGAACCTTGTCCTCAGCGCCAGGAGCCTTCTCTTCAGCGCCAGGAACCTTGTCCTCAGCGGCAGGAGCCTTGTCCTCAGCAGCAGGAATCATGCCTCAGCAACAGTGACCTTGTCGTCGGCGCCAGGAACTTTTTGCTCAGCGACAGGAACCTTGTTCTCATCGACAGGAACGTTGTACTCAGCGGCAGGAGCCTAGACCTCAGCGACAGGAACCTTGTCCTCAGCGCCAAGAACCTAGTCCTCAGCGAAAGGAACCTTGTCCTCAGCGCCAGGAACCTTGTACTTGGCGCCAGGAACCTTGGTCTCAGCGCCAGAAACCTTGTTCTCAGCGCCAGGAAACTCGTCCTCAGCGCCAGGACCTTTTTCCTCAGCGCCACGACCTTGTCCTCAGCGGCAGGAACCTTGTTTTCATTACCAAAATCCTTTTCCTCAGCCCCAGGAGCCTTCTCTTCAGCGCCAGGAGCCTTGTCCTCAACTCCGGGAGCCTTGTCCTCAGCGACAGGAACCTTGTCCTCAGCGACAGGAACATTGTCCTCAGCGACAGGAACATTGTCCTCAGCGACAGGAACCTTGTCCTCAGCGACAGGAACCTTGTACTCAGCGGCAGGAGCCTAGTCCTCAGCGACAGCAACCTTGTCCTCTGCGCCACGACCCTTGTCCTCAGCACCAGGAACCTTGTCCTGAGCTCCAGGAACCTTGTCCTCAGCGCCAGGACCCTTGTCCTCAGCGCCAGGACCTTTTTCCTCAGCGACAGGTTCCTTGGCCTCAGCGGCAGGAACCTTGTTCTCAGTGGCAAAAGCCTTTTCCTCAGCGCCAGGAACCTTTTCTTCAGCGCCAGGAGCCTTGTCCTCAGCTACAGGAGCCTTGTCGTCAGTGACAGGAACCTTGTCCTCAGCGACAGGAACCTTGTTCTCGGCGACAGGAACGTTGTACTCAGCGGCAGGAGCCTAGATCTCAGCCACAGGAACCTTGTCCTCAGCGCCAGGAACCTAGTCCTCAGCGACAGGAACCTTGTCCTCAGCGCCAGGAACCTTGTACTCGGCGCCAGGAACCTTGGTGTCAGCGCCAGAAACATTGTCCTCAGCGCCAGGAACCTCGTCCTCAGCGCCAGTACCTTTTTCCTCAGCGCCACGACCTTGTTCTGAGCGGCTGGAACCTTGTTTTCAGTGCCAAAAGCCTTTTCCTCAGCCCCAGGAGCCTTCTCTTCAGCGCCAGGAGCCTGTCCTCAACTCCGGAAGTTTTGTCCTAAGCGACAGGAACCTTGTCCTCAGCGACAGGAACCTTGTCCTCAGCGACAGGAACATTGTCCTCAGCGACAGGAACCTTGTCCTCAGCGACAGGAACCTTGTACTCAGCGGCAGGAGCCTAGTCCTCAGCGACAGCAACCTTGTCCTCTGCGCCACGACCCTTGTCCTCAGCACCAGGAACTTTGTCCTCAGCTCCAGGAACCTTGTCCTCAGCGCCAGGACCCTTGTCCTCAGCGCCAGGACCTTTTTCCTCAGCGACAGGTTCCTTGGCCTCAGCGGCAGGAACCTTGTTCTCAGTGGCAAAAGCCTTTTCCTCAGCGCCAGGAACCTTTTCTTCAGCGCCAGGAGCCTTGTCCTCAGCTACAGGAGCCTTGTTGTCAGTGACAGGAACCTTGTCCTCAGCGACAGGAACCTTGTTCTCGGCGACAGGAACGTTGTACTCAGCGGCAGGAGCCTAGATCTCAGCGCCAGGAACCTTGTCCTCAGCGCCAGGAACCTAGTCCTCAGCGACAGGAACCTTGTCCTCAGCGCCAGGAACCTTGTACTCGGCGCCAGGAACCTTGGTGTCAGCGCCAGAAACATTGTCCTCAGCGCCAGGAACCTCGTCCTCAGCGCCAGGACCTTTTTCCTCAGCGCCACGACCTTGTCCTGAGCGGCTGGAACCTTGTTTTCAGTGCCAAAAGCCTTTTCCTCAGTTCCAGGAGCCTTCTCTTCAGCGCCAGGAGCCTGTCCTCAACTCCGGAAGCCTTGTCCTAAGCGACAGGAACCTTGTCCTCAGCGACAGGAACCTTGTCCTCAGCGACAGGAACCTTGTCCTCACCCGCCTGAAACCTTGTCCTCAGCGCCAGGAACTTTCTCCTCAGCGACAGGAAACTTGTCGTCAGTGCCAGGAGCCTCGTCCTCAGCGCCAGGAACCTTGTGCTCAGCTCCAGGAACCTTGTCCTCAGCGCCAGGACCTTTGTCCTCAGCGCCAGGACCTTTTTCCTCAGCGACAGGAACCTTGGCCTCAGCGGCAGGAACCTTGTTCTCAGTGGCAAAAGCCTTTTCCTCAGCGCCAGGTACCTTTTCTGCAGCGCCAGGAGCCTTGTCTTCAGCTACAGGAGCCTTGTTGTCAGTGACAGGAACCTTGTCCTCAGCGGCAGGAAACTTTTCCTCAGCCGCAGGAATCTTGTCCTCAGCACCAGTAACCTTGTCCTCAGCGCCAGGAACCTTGTCCTTGGCGACAGGAATCTTGGCCTCAGCGGCAGGAGCTTTGTACTCAGCGGCAGGAGCCTAGCCTCTGCGACAGCAACCTTGTCCTCAGCGCCAGGAACCTAGTCCTCAGCGACAGGAACCTTGTCCTCAGCGCCAGGAACATTCAATTCAGCGCTAGGAACCTTGTCCTCAGCGCCTGGAGCCTTGACTTCAGCGCCACGAACCTTGTCCTCAGCGACTGGAACCTTGTTCTCAGCTCCAGGAACCTTGTCCTCAGCTCCAGGAACCTTGTCCACAGCGCCAGGACACTTGTCCACTGCGCCCGGACCTTTTTCCTCAGTGCCAGGAACCTTGTCCTCAGCGGCAGGAACCTTGTCCTCAGTGCCAAAAGCCTTTTCCTCAGTGCCAGGAGCCTATTCTTCAGCGCCAGGACCCTTGTCCTCAGCTACAGGAGCCTTGTCTTCAGTGACAGGAACCTTGTCCTCAGCGGCAGGAACCTTGTCCTCAGCGGCAGGAATCTTGTCCTCAGCACCATTAACCTTGTCCTCAGCACCATTAACCTTGTCCTCATAGCCAGTAACCTTGTCCTCAGCGCCAGAAACCTTGTCCTCATACCCAGGAACCTTGTCCTCAGCGCCAGGACCCTTGTCCTCAGCGGCAGAAAACTTGTCCTCACCCGCCTGAAACCTTGTCCTCAGCGCCAGGAACTTTCTCCTCAGCGACAGAAAACTTGTCCTCAGTGCCAGGAGCCTCGTCCTCAGCGCCAGGAACCTTGTCGTCAGCGCCAGGAACCTTGTCCTCGGCGACAGAAACCTTGTCCTCAGCGACAGGAACCTTGTACTCAGCGGCAGGAGCCTAGTCCTCTGCGACAGGAACCTTGTCTTCCGCGCCAGGAGCCTTGTTCTCAGCGCCAGGAGACTTGTCCTCAGCGCCCGAACTCTTTTCCTCAGCATCAGGACCCTTTTCCGCAGCGCCAGGAACCTTCTCCTCTGCAGCAGGAGCCTTGTTCTCAGTGCCAGTAGCCTTCTCCTCAGCTCCAGGAACCTTGTGCTCACCGACAGGAACCTTGTCCGCAGCGGCAGGAACCTTGTTCTCAGTGCCAAAAGCCTTTTCCTCAGCGCCAGGAGCCTTCTCTTCAGCGCCAGGAGCCTTGTCCTCAACTCCAGGAGCCTTGTCCTCAGCGGCAGGAACCTTGTCCTCAGCGGCAGGAATCTTGTCCTCAGCACCAGTAACCTTGTCCTCAGCGCCAGGAACCTTGTCCTCAACGGCAGGAACCTTGTCCTCAGCGACAGGAACATTGTACTCAGCGGCAGGAGTCTAGTCCTCAGCGACAGGAACCTTGTCCTCAGCGCCAGGAACCTAGTCCTCAGCGACAGGAACCTTGTCCTCAGCGCCAGATTCCTTGGATTTCCCCTGATATCAAAAATCTGATGAGGGTTAGGGACTCTTACAAGAAAATGGCTGTTAAAAATAATTCCCAGATTCACTGGGAAAAATTCAAAGAAATACGTAACAAAGTCAATTCAGAACTAACTAAAGCTAAAACAGCATTTTTCTGTAACAAATTTGAGAACTGCGCACAATCGAAAGACATGAAACATAGTTGGAAGTTAATTAATATTCTCTGAGGTAAAAACAAAAAATCAAATAATATCTCTCAACTTAAATGTGATGATGTTGTGATTTCAGATGATTCTTTGAAAGCTGAGGCGTTTAATGACTTCTTTGTTAACATCGGGGTAAATTTGGCTAATGAAATTGAGAACGACTATCCATGTACGAACTTTTCAGATGATGAAAATTACCACTCTAACTATTACTCTAATATAAATTTTAAGTATTCTGAAATTAGTATGGATGATATTATTTGTCAATTACGTAATCTTAAAATTTCAAAGTCGACCGGTATTGATAACATCCCTGCTATAACTCTTAAATTGTCCGCGGAAGTTATTGGTCCTTCATTATCATGGATTTATAATCTGTCAATCAAAACTGGGATATATGTTGATGAATGGAAAAAGGCGAGGGTAATGCCAATTTTTAGATCTGATGATAGACAAAGATGTGAAAATTACCGATCGATATCTATATTGCCTATTGTCAGTAAAATACTAGAGAGATCTGTTTTCAACCAGATTTATAAGTTTTTGAATGATAATTCGCTGCTATCTAAACATCAATCTGGCTTTCGGCCTAAGCATTCAACTTTAACAACACTCATTCAAATGTGTGACACACTTTATGAGAACATGGATAATGGTCAGTTGAGTGGTGTTGTTTTCCTTGATATTAGAAAAGCTTTTGATTCTATTGATCATACAATCTTATTGCAAAAGATGAATGATCAATTTGGAATAAAAAATGTGGAACTGGATTGGTTTAAGTCCTATCTAACTAATAGAGAGCAAGCATGCATTGTCAACGGTGCAATGTCATCACCTAAAACGATTGTGTGCGGAGTTCCACAGGGATCAATTCTTGGTCCCTTGCTGTTTTTAATATATATTAATGATTTACCCGAATGCCTCGAAAAAACTTCGCCACACCTATACGCTGATGATACTCAAATTTCTACTTCTGCCAAAACTATTGAGGAACTTACTGAAAATCTAAATAATGACCTGAAAAAAGTCGGTGAGTGGCTTGCTCGAAATAAACTGCAACAGCACCCAACTAAGACCAAATTAATGTATATCGGTTCAAAGTATAATACTGATACTATGACTTATGATATTCCAGTAATGATGAATAACCAATTCATAACTCTTGCTCATTCATACACATGCCTTGGGGTTAAACTTGATGAAAACCTTAATTGGCATGAGCATGTTGAAATAATTTGTAAGAAAGTTGGGGCCGGCATAGGAGCAATGCAACGAATTAAGCCATATGTTCCTATAAATACCCTGCATACCATTTACAGAGCTTTGATAGAACCGTATTTTGATTATTGTAGTCCTAGGCCGTATTCTGTGGCATGATATCGTTCAGTTCCGTTGCCCGGGTTCGGGCACTACTTTGAAACAAGATGAATAATTAGGATAAATTATACAAAGTCCAAATCCGCTTGTTTGCACTTCCCAAAACCTGCAGCCGTTTTCGAGTATTTCTTCTTCGAAAATTCAATAAATCGACATCTTTCGCAAGCAGTGAACTATATATATATATATATATATATATATATATATATATATATATATATAATTCAATTTATTTTGGTTGTCCAGATATATAAAGTGCTCAATACTAAAAGTATAGCAGAGCTTATTAGATTGTCTATATCTTAAAATTAAATATCGCTACTCTGAGTTTCACGTCCTTTCTAGACGATCATCAGGCGATTTTGTTCACGATTTTGTTACTGATTACGTGACTGCATCATCATCAACCGTTCGCTGACACGTTAACTTGTTTGTTCGCGCGCGTTCGAATTTCCCGGCGCTGAATTTTTCTCGATGGCGACATTTCGCGAAGAACTCGGATCTTTTGTTCAACAGATTGGTTTTATGTGATTTCATGATTTCTAATTTCTCTTCTATGCACAAATTACAACGCCTACCGCCAGGTACATACGCTGCTGCTCGTTTCAAAATGGACCACTTAATACTGTATTCCCTTTTCTTGTCCTTCAAATCCCATACGTATTTGGAAAGTTCTGTGTCAGACGAGTACGCAGGCTTATTAAACGACTTTTTGTGATTTCTGTATCTAACCTTGAACTCCGTGGAAGTCATTCCAATGTACTCTTTGGTCGTTCCATCATGGGGCGTTGTTATTTCTGCCTTATAAACTACGTTGCTGGTCAAACACTTATATATATATATATATATATATATATCTGGTATGATAACAGAGAGCGAAAAGTGAAGCCGACAAAAAAATCACGACATAAGTATTCGTCATTGTCTTCGTCATCAACTGTTCAAGAACTTTCTTACAGTATTAAAAATCACTTACATATAAAATTTGTAATTGTTTTGAAAGTTTTTATCACAGTTCTTATATCTTTATTCACTTTTAACCTGAAGATGGAGTTATACTCCGAAACGTAGTTATTAAAATAATTTTTTACTAAGCCCATATGGTATAATTTATATTCAAACACATGTACATATTCATTTACATTTTGCTGGCAGGCAAATTCCGATCACACAATAAATTCTTTAAAAAATAACGTAACAGTGTATTGACTAAAAACTATAAAACTGGTAAACTAAAAAACAATTCAAACAATCGCGAAAAATGGCAACGGCAAAGTCACAGTTGCAAGTCAATTTACCTACCTGTGAAATGAAATTTTCTCGCAAGAATATCTCTTTCCTTGCGCATCCAGAACGACAGTACTACACAATATATTTGAAAAAGTGATTCTTTTCTCCACACGGGGAAGTTTTCCTCGACTTTTTTCCGACAGCGAACTCAATGCAGTAAATTTTAGTAGCAAAACAGTTTGCTCCAAAAATGTATTGCATTGAGTTGGCCATGTTTTTAAATTTTTTTCGTGATTGCGTTCAAATTTATACTGGCCGTGCAACGGTTTGCAAGAGGGGGAATGAAACTGACGTCCAATCCGCGTAAAACTGACGTTTGAGGGACTAAGACTGAAGTCCAATCCGCGTGAGAGACTGGTATCGAGGCTTCATTGTTTTCACCATCAAATGACTGAATGTTATCATTCCCGATATATATATATATATATATATATATATATATATATATATATATATATATATATATATATATATATATATATATATATATATATATATATATATATATATATATATAGAGTTCACTGTTCGCAATCGATCGCCGCCATTTTTGTTCAGGATACTTGGTGTAATAAACACTATAACTGGCGATTTTCGCGGGCTCACGCTCGTTCTTACATGAAGTTTCCAGCTTAGCCATTTGTAAACATGGCGTCTTCTGACTCATGTTTAATTCATTTTGATGGGAAAAAAGGCCCACTTACAAGTTTTAGTGCGGTTTCGTATCAAAAAATTTTAGATTGTCGTAGAATTTGGCTAACGCTAGACGGGGAAGAACGCAATGTTGCTCAAAGAAGTTTGCAATTTGTTAGCGACAGCATGGAAAGTAGCACGATTGAAAGTATCGAATACGCAAATTTCTCTTACCATCGAGGTTGTTACTCGGCATTCACAAATAGCCGTATGATCAAACGAGCTCAAGTGCGTTGTCAGAATATGGACAAAGAAGGTGTGCCTTCATCCTCTGGTATTGATATTACCGATGAAGAAACGGAATCAGATGAAACTCCACCTGTAAAAAAAATGCTGAGATCTACGCTGAGTTCGCGTACGGGTGCGGCGGCTAAATCACGGAATCCCCACGTGTTGCCATGCGTTTGTATAATTTGCAAATCAGAAAAGTCGTATTTCACTGAATCGGTAAGTTTATTGATTTATTTTTTTACAATTTATATTGTTATTTTTCTAATATGTGTTGCATAGTTATATATTGATTGCATTACCTTTATTCGCCGTTATATAGACGGTAATTGTGTGATTTCTATACATGGGTTTTCTATTATTTAGAAGTCGAAAAAGCGAAAGCTGGACAAAATGGTATCTGCAGAAACAGTAGATGGTGGTAAACTGAAAGAAGCTGCAACAAAGAAAGCTGATGAAAGTATTTTGATTCAAATTGCTGATAAGGACCTAGTAGCATTAGAAGTGAAATATCATAAACGTTGTTATGAAAAGTACACATCATTTCTTAGGCACAGCCCCAGTACTCAATCAAATGACAATGAAGGTGAAATGCATGAATGCAAGTATGAAGAATCATTCAATGTCTTCTGTGAAGAGTTTGTTAAAGAAAAACTATTTAAGCAGGAGAATATATTTTACATGAAAAAGTTGAAAAGAGAGTTTGTCAAGACAGTGAAACGTGTTGAAAACACTGATGCCTCAACTTATAGAACATTTCGATTAAAGCAAAGATTGGGTAAAAAGTTTCCACAACTTGTTTTCCATAGACCAAAGGTACGGAACAAGAGTGAAATTGTTTATGCAGAGTGCCTCAGCCAAGCAAGTGTAGCAGAAAGTTTTATGGATGATGACATAGAAACGTCTCAGAGTTCACAAGAGTCTGAGTCTGATGATGACATTGGAACGGAAGCATTCACGTACACAAGTGCAACAGTGAAAAAAATATATACAGTTGGCCTAACATTGAGGAACAACTTGCATGATTGTACATCAGCTTGGTACAAGAACTGGCCACCACATGCATCAGATATTACTGGTGAAAACGTTAGAAAGTTAGTATCACCTCTCTTGTTTAATTTTTTGGCATGGATGCTTGGGTTTTCAGATGACCCAGAAAATGCTGATTACATTGAATTAAATGAGCAAACTACAACAAAGATTTTTTCTCTGTGTCAAGATTTGGTCTATATTTCTAATAAGGGGAAAGTACAGACACGCAAGTCCCTAGCACTGGCAATGACTGTTCGGCAGATGCCTGGTTGTTCGGGCCTGATTAAGATTTTGAGTGGTTTTGGACATTGTGTCTCATTGTCTTCGACAATGGCATATGATTCAGCTATTGCACAGGAAACTATCAACACATCAAACATTATTCCAAGGGAATTTGTTGCAAAGGAGTATGTCAATCTGGTTTATGACAACATTGATTTTGGAGAAGAAATTGCTAAACAGACTCATGTTACCAACGGGATCATTACCCAAATTGTCTGTGATCAAAAACAGATAAGTTCATCAAACCAGACAACCCTAATAAAGAAGACACAGCGGGCAGTAGAAATGCCTACAACTGATATTGTGCCTTACAGTATTGGAGTAAAGAAAACACCTACATTTCAAAGTATTGAACTGGATCCTGAATGTTTGGAACTTACTTTAGTAGATGACTCAAAACAGACAGCTTCTAAACTTGATTTAGCCTATATCTTAATCAAATATATATATGTGCTGCAAATGAAGAAGTATTACCAGGAAGGACAGGGTTTAATACCATGCTCTTTAGTAAAGAGCTACCACATGTATCCAGGGTTGGCTATTTGCCGGTTATTGATGCATCACCAACAGAATATTCCACTATCAACACAATGCTTACAAGGAGCAAAGAAATCGCTGATAAGTTGGAACTGAAATATGCGGTGTTGGTTTTTGACGAAGCTGTATATGCTAAAGCTCAACAGGTTCGCTGGAAGGAAGAGACATTCTTCAATCGATTTGTTGTTCGCTTTGGTGAATTCCACACTATCATGACCTATCTGTCGGCTATGTCAAAGATATTTGAAGATGGAGGCCTAAAGGTAATTAATTTAACACTTAATTATCTACCCTAAGTTAACTTGACTGTGAACAAATCTCATACCCAGGCTTGTTAGGGAAACAGGAATTATTAACAAATAATAAATTTGTGGCGGTGCTAATTAAGAAACAGTGAAACTGAACAGTAACAGTTTCATTCCACATGCATTCTGTATATGTTTATCAACTAAAACATGATTTTTTTCTTTTTGTATGTAGGATGTATTTATAGAACCTGGTATTGTGAGCGAAGGATCAATCCAAGGCGTCCTTTCTGGTAAACATTACAACAGGTCAGTGTCGTGTCATAAGATAATGTATGAAGCACTGCAACGCCTAAGATTCCAAGCATTTATGGATCAAATGACCGAAGAAGACCAAGAAGTTATGACTTCATTCATTGAGAGCATGGCAGGCTCGTTTCCGGAAGATAAGTTCCTGAGTGATGATATAGAAAGTCCTTTGATGCAACAGATATTGGAATCCTATGAACTATTTATAGCAGAGTCATCCAGTAAATCAAGGACATTTGCCTTTTGGACCATGTATATTGAAATGGCAGGTAATTATGCTGAAAAACTCTATATTTATTAATTTGTTTTATTTGCTGTGGTTCCATATACTTGTATAGGTAATAGTATGGGTTAATTTGAGTGCAATTTGGAAAAAACATGCACAAGTGAGTTTTTCAAAGACTGTCAAAAGTCCGAAGGATGAGTGCAATTTGAAGTCTTTTAAAAACTCACGAGTGTATTACTTATTAATAATATATACATGAAAAATTTATGCTGTTTCTCCTAAAATCCTAAATGTTTGTTTTTGTATTATTTCTGCTGGAAATTGTTGTATCTTATTCGCTATCTTTGTTATTTTTCATATTTTAAGCCAATCAGAAAGCCTAAATAGTCAATGAAATGCACTGCATTTATTTTTTTGCACTGTATTTCATTTTTTGGCACTGTATTTCGAAAAAATTGCACTGCTCTTAGCCAATCAGAATTGAGAAATGTTTTCATGTATGTATATAATTATTAAGTAAGTAAATTTTGTTTTCTTATAAGGTGTGTTACTGATGTTTATTCGGGTAACCAGACAAGTAAACTGGGATCTTCACTTGATGGCTTTCAGGGCTACGATTCCATGGTTTTTCATTTGCGATAGAGTCAATTATGCCAGATATGGGTCGGCATATATATTGGAGATGACTGCATTGGAAAAGAAACACCCAGGTATGATTGGAGAGTAAGCTGAAGGAGTCTAAAGACAGTATTCTAATAGGCAATTTCTTGTATTGTGGCCGACTAAAGAGAAATGCCTTTGTCTCTAAGCGAAAATATTAATTGCCTATTAGAAAATGAGAAAGAATGACATAATATTTTACGAGTAATTAAGGAAATACGCGGACGTGTACTCGTCTGTTAGTTTTTAAATAGTAGCAAAATTGACCAAAACAGAAGAGAGTAAAGTTAAGGCAGGTTCTATATCTCTTAAGAACGTACTTCGAAGTGTGTTGTCGTTTCCAAATAGCTTGTTAAATTTGCACAACCCCAGAAAATGATAATGCAGCCTTTCTTGAGCCCGATATGGGACTCGAACACATGGTCCTCAGATTAAAAGCCTGATGCTCTACCAACTGAGCTAACCGGGCCGCACGGAGGTTGGGATTCACGTTGGGATCTTAGTATAATTAAAAAAAAAAAGCAGATACTTTAGGAAAGTCTTTTTGCCGAAACCCGGGATTGAACCAGGGACCTTCAGATCTTCAGTCTGACGCTCTCCCATCTGAGCTATTTCGGCAGGTACTATAACTCTTAAAAACGTACTTCGAAACGTGTTGTCCTTTCCAAATAGCTTGTTAAATTTGCACAACCCCCGAAAATGATAATGCAGGCTTTCTTGAGCCTGTTAGGGGACTCGAACCCATGGCCCTCAGATTAAAAGTCTGAATCTCTACCAACTGAGCTAACCGGGCCGCACGGAGGTTGGGAATCTCATGCGTCAATAAGATCGTAAACGTCTTAGTAATTATCTTAGTATCATTAAAAAAAGTCAGATAATTTAGGAAAGTCATTTTGCCGAAACCCGGGATTGAACCAGGGACCTTCAGATCTTCAGTCTGACGCTCTCCCATCTGAGCTATTTCGCCAGGTTCTGTATATCATAAGAACGTTCTTCGAAGTGTGTTGTCTTTTCCAAATAGCTTGTTAAGTTTGCTGAATCCCGAAAATGATATCTTTCTTAAGCCCGATATGGGACTCGAACCCATGGCCCTCAGATTAAAAGTCTGATGCTCTACCAACTGAGCTAACCGGGCAGCACGGAGGTTGAGAATCTCGTGCGTCAATAAGATCGTGATATTCTTAGTAATTACCTTAGTATCATAAAAAAAGTCAGATAATATAGGAAAGTCGTTTTGCCGAAACACGGGATTGAACCAGGGACCTTCAGATCTTCAGTCTAACGCTCTCCCATGTGAGCTATTTCGGCAGGCACCATAACTCTTAAGAACGTACTTCGAAGTGTGTTTTTCTTTTCCAAATAGTTTGTTAAATTTTCAGAATCCCCGAAAATGATAACGCAGACATTCTTGAGCCCGATATGGGACTCGAACCCATGGCCCTCAAATTAAAAGTCTGATGCTCTACCAACATATCTAAACCGGCCGCACGGAGGTTGGGAATCTCATGCGTCAATAAGATCGTAATCTTATTAGTAATTATCTTAGTATCATTAAAAAAAATTCAGGTAATTTAGGAAAGTCGTTTTGCCGAAACACGGGATTGAACCAGGGACCTTCAGATCTTCAGTCTAACGCTCTCCCATCTGAGCTATTTCGGCAGGTACTATAACTCTTAAAAACGTACTTCGAAGCGTGTTGTCCTTTCCAAATAAAGCTATTTGGTCTTCAGTTTGACGCTCTCCCTTCTGAGCTATTTCGGCAGGTACTACAACTCTTAAGAACGTACTTCGAAGTCTGTTTTTCCGATATCAGACTCGAACCCATCGCCCTCAGATTAAAAGTCTGATGCTCTACCAACTGAGCTAACCGGGCCGCACGGAGATTGGGAATCTCATGCGTCAATAAGATCGTAATCTTATTAGTAATTATCTTAGTATCATTAAAAAAAGGATAGTCTTTTTGGAGAAACACGGGATTGAACCAGGGACCTTCAGGTCTTCAGTCTGACGCTCTCCCTTCTGAGCTATTTCGGCAGGTACTATTACTCTTAAGAACGTACTTCGAAGTGTGCTTTTCTTTTCCAAATAGCATGTTAAATTTGCACAACTCCCGTAAATGATAATGCAGTCTTTCTTGAGCCCGATATGGGACTCGAACCCATGGCCCCAGATTAAAAGTCTGTTGCTCTACCAAATTTAATTAACCGGGCCACACCGAGATTGCGAATCTCATGCGTCAATAAGAACGTAAACTTCCTAGTAATTATCTTAGTATCATTAAAAAAAAGTCAGGAAAAAAAGCTGTTTTCCTGAAACATTGGATTGAACCAGGGACTTTCAGATCTTCAGTCGGACGCTCTCCCATCTGAGCTATTTCGGCAGGTACTATAACTCTTAAGAACGTACTTCGAAGTGGGTTTTTCCTTTCCTAATAGCTTGTTAAATTTTCAGAATCCACGAAAATGAGATCGTAATCTTCTTAGTAATTATCTTAGTATCATTAAAAATAAAAGTCAGATAATTTAGGAAAGTCTTTTTGCCTAAACCCGGGATTGAACAAGGGACCTTCAGATCTTCAGTCTGACGCTCTCCCATCTGAGCTATTTCGGCAGGTACTATAACTCTTAACAACGTATTTCGAAGTGTGTTCTCCTTTCCAAATAGCTTGTTAAATTTGCACAACACCCGAAAATGATAATGCAGCCTTTCTTGAGCCCGATATGGGACTCGAACCCATGGCCCTCAGATTAAAAGTCTGATGCTCTACCAACTGAGCTAACCGGGCAGCACGAAGGTTGAGAATCTCGTGCGTCAATAAGATCGTGATATTCTTAGTAATTACCTTAGTATCATAAAAAAAGTAAGATAATATAGGAAAGTCGTTTTGCCGAAACACGGGATTGAACCAGGGACCTTCAGATCTTCAGTCTAACGCTCTCCCATCTGAGCTATTTCGGCAGGTACTATAACTCTTAAGAACGTACTTCGAAGTGGGTTTTTCCTTTCCTAATAGCTTGTTAAATTTTCAGAATCCACGAAAATGAGATCGTAATATTCTTAGTAATTATCTTAGTATCATTAAAAATAAAAGTCAGATAATTTAGGAAAGTCTTTTTGCCGAAACCCGGGATTGAACAAGGGACCTTCAGACCTTCAGTCTGACGCTCTCCCATCTGAGCTATTTCGGCAGGTACTATAACTCTTAACAACGTACTTCGAAGTGTGTTGTCCTTTCCAAATAGCTTGTTAAATTTGCACAACACCCGAAAATGATAATGCAGCCTTTCTTGAGCCCTATATTGGACTCGAACCCATGGCCCTCAAATTAAAAGTCTGATGCTCTACCAACTGAGCTAACCGGGCAGCACGGAGGTTGAGAATCTCGTGCGTCAATAAGATCGTGATATTCTTAATAATTACCTTAGTATCATTAAAAAAAAGTCAGATAATTTAGGAAAGTCGTTTTGCCGAAATCCGGGATTAAACCAGTGACCTTCAGATCTTCAGTCTGACGCTCTCTCATCTGTGCTATTTCGGCAGGTACTATATCTCTTAAGAACGTACTTCGAAGTGTGTTGTCCATTCCAAATAGGTTGCTAAATTTGAACAACCCCCGAAAATGATAATTTCGCAGTCTTTCTTGAGCCCGATATGGGACTCGAACCCATGGCCCTCAGATTAAAAGTCTGATGCTCTAGTCATATACAGGTCATAGACTAAACAGAGGAAACTGCTTTGTGGTTATTTTTTTCGGATACAATGACGGACACCAATACTGGAGAACACTAAAAGAAATTCCGGAGACCAGTATCAAAAGGAAGGAGGGAGTTAGCTTTTAACCTCCAAAAGCGTTGCTGTAGCATGGGGTGGAGAACACGTTCCAGATTTTCCCAAAGGGTTTTTTTGGTTTTCGTGTCCGGCTAAGCAACATGGTGTTCCATCGTTTGGTTAGATACATATGTGGTATGTGCTTTATTTTTATGTAAAACTGTGTACTGTACATTATCCACTCTAAATTTGCCACATTAAAATATGTGATAAAATGTATGGTATATCTAATTCTATTATAGAGTGGGTGGGACAAAAAAAAGACGTTGGAGCTTCTTCAGAAAAGAATGCTGATGTTGGCGCACGACGAACTATCTATTGACTATAAGCATTTGACATTGTAATTAGCACTAATAAATGCAATAGAATCTAATAGAAAGAAAACGTTCTTTAAAATTGTAATGGAGTAACACATGTACATGCTAATTAAATGATTTTGAAATTTTTAAAATAATTTTGTCTTTTTTGTTAATTTCCCAAAATAAACAGGAATTTTCCCGTCTAATTATTTGATGATTGGTGTAGTTTTGAAAAAAAAAGTTCAAAATTTTACTTATACCCCACACTAACCCCCGAAAACCAGACCCACCAAGTCATGTTTGCACAGCGGACGTTTACGGAACTTCATGTAAGAACGAGTGTGAGCCCGCAAAAATCGCCATTTATAGTGTTTATTACAGGAAGTATCCTGAACAAAAATGGCGGCGATCGATTGCGAAAGATGTTGATTTAATAAATTTTCGAAGAAGGAGTACTCGAAAACTGCAGGTTTTGGGAAGTGCAAACAAGCGGATTTGGACTTTGTATGTTTTATCCTAATTATTTATCTTGTTTCAAAGTAGTGCCCGAACCCGGGCAACGGAATTCATTTTCTAAGCGACTTTTCGTGCCACAGAATACGGCCTATCCATTATGCGACGTCTGTAACCAAAAGCTGAAAGATAAGCTTCAAAAGTTCCAAAACCGTGCAGCGAGAATTATAACCGGCGCCAGCTATGAAATAAGGTCTGCTGATGTTCCTCGATCCGTTGCTTGGGAAAATTTAGGAACCTTATCCTCAGGGGCAGGAACCTCGTACTCAGCGGCAGGAACCCAGTCCTCAGCGACAGGAACCTTGTCCTCAGCGCCTGGAGCCTTGACTTCATTGCCAGGAAACTTGTCCTCAGCGCCAGCAACCTTGTTCTCAGCGAGTGGAACCTTGTCCTCAGCGTCAGAACCCTTTTCCTCAGCGCTAGGATCCTTTGCCTCAGCGCCAGGAACATTGTCCTCTGCAGCAGGAACCTTGTCCTCAGCGCCAGGAACCCTGTCCTCAGCACCAGGAACCTTCTCCTCAGCGCCAGGAACCTTGTCCTCAGCCACAGGAACCTTGTCCTCAGCGCCAGGAGCCTTGTCCTCAGCGCCAGGAGCCTTGTCCTCAGCGCCAGGACCCTTGTCCTCAGCGCCAGGACCCTTGTCCTCAGCGCCAGGGCCTTTTTCCTCAGCGCCAGGAACCTTCTCCTCAGCGGCAGGAACTTTGTTCTCAGTGCCAAAAGCCTTTTTCTCAGCGCCAGGACGCTCCTCTTCAGCTCCAGGCGCCTTGTCCTCAGCGACAGGAACCTTGTTCTCAGCGACTGCAACCTTGTCCTCAGCGTCAGAACCCTTTTCCTCAGCGCCAGGATCCTTTTCCTCAGCGCCAGGATCCTTTTCCTCAGCGCCAGGAACCTTGTCCTCTGCCGCAGGAACCTTGTACTCAGCGGCAGGAACCTTGTCCTCAGCGCCAGGAACGTTGTCCTGAGCGCCAAAAACCTTGTACTCAGCGCCAGGAACCTTGTCCTTAGCTTCAAGAACCTTGTCCTCTGCGCCATGAACCTTGTCCTCAGCGCCAGGAACCTTGTCCTCAGCCTCTGGAATCTTGTCCTCAGCGGCAGAAACCTGATCCGCAGCGACATGAACCTTCTCCTCAACGCCAGGAACATTGACTTCAACGCTAGGAACATTGTCCTCAGCGCCAGGAACCTTATCCTCAGCGCCAAGAACCTTGTCCTCTGCGCCATGAACCTTGTCCTCAGGGCCAGGAACCTTGTCCTCAGCGCCAGGAACCTTGTCCTCAGGGCCAGGAACCTTGTCCTCAGCGCCAGATTCCTTGGATTTCCCCTGATATCAAAAATCTGATGAGGGTTAGGGACTCTTACAAGAAAATGGCTGTTAAAAATAATTCCCAGATTCACTGGGAGAAATTTAAAGAAATACGTAACAAAGTCAATTCAGAACTAACTAAAGCTAAAACAGCATTTTTCTGTAACAAATTTGAGAACTGCGCACAATCGAAAGATATGAAACATAGTTGGAAGTTAATTAATATTCTCTTAGGTAAAAATAAAAAATCAAATAATATCTCTCAACTTAAATGTGATGATGTTGTGATTTCAGATGATACTTTGAAAGCTGAGGCGTTTAATGACTTCTTTGTTAACATCGGGGTAAATTTGGCTAATGAAATTGAGAACGACTCTCCATGTACGAACTTTTCAGATGATGAAAATTACCACTCTAACTATTACTCTAATATAAATTTTAAGTTTTCTGAAATTAGTATGGATGGTATTATTTGTCAATTACGTAATCTTAAAATTTCAAAGTCTACCGGTATTGATAATATCCCTGCTATAGCTCTTAAATTGTCCGCGGAAGTTATTGGTCCTTGATTAACATGGATTTATAATCTTTCAATCAAAACTGGGATATATGTTGATGAATGGAAAAAGGCGTGGGTAATGCCAATTTTTAAATCTGATGATAGACAAAGATGTGAAAATTACCGACCGATATCTATATTGCCTATTGTCAGTAAAATACTAGAGAGACCGGTTTTCAACCAGATTTATAAGTTTATGAATGATAATTCGCTGCTATCTAAACATCAATCTGGCTTTCGGCCTAAGCATTCAACTTTAACAACACTCATTCAAATGTGTGACACACTTTATGAGAACATGGATAATGGTCAGTTGAGTGGTGTTGTTTTCCTTGATATTAGAAAAGCTTTTGATTCTATTGATCATACAATCTTATTGCAAAAGAAGAATGATCAATTTGGAATAAAAAATGTGGAACTGGATTGGTTTAAGTCCTATCTAACTAATAGAGAGCAAGCATGCATTGTCAACGGTGCAATGTCATCACCTAAAACGATTGTGTGCGGAATTCCGCAGGGATCAATTCTTGGTCCCTTGCTGTTTTTATTATATATTAATGATTTACCCGAATACCACGCTGATGATACTCAAATTTCTACTTCTGCCAAAACTATTGAGGAACTTACTGAAAATCTAAATAATGACCTGAAAAAAGTCGGTGCGTGGCTTGCTCGAAATAAACTGCAACACCACCCAACTAAGACCAAATTAATGTATATCGGTTCAAAGTATAATACTGATACTATGACTTATGATATTCCAGTAATGATGAATAACCAATTCATAACTCTTGCTCATTCATACACATGCCTTGGGGTTAAACTTGATGAAAACCTTAATTGGCATGAGCATGTTGAAATGATTTGTAAGAAAATTGGGGCCGGCATAGGAGCAATGCAACGAATTAAGCAATATGTTCCTATAAATATCCTGCATACCATTTACAGAGCTTTGATAGAACCGTATTTTGATTATTGTAGTCCATTATGGGACGTCTGTAACCAACAGCTGAACGATAAGCTTCAAAAGTTCCAAAACCGTGCAGCGAGAATTATAACCGGCGCCAGCTATGAAATAAGGTCTGCTGATGTTCTTCGATCCCTTGCTTGGGAAAATTTAGAGATGAGACAGCGTACAACTAAATCCACATTAATGTGTAAAGTCCTGAATGATTGCGCTGGGCCGAACTTGAAGGATGCTCTAACGAGAAGGGACCTTGTTCAAACCAGTTATAATCTTCGCAATACTTATACTGACCTTACCCTTGCTAAGCCAAAACGAGAATTTCTAAAAAAAAGCTTTAAGTATAGCGGAGCTAAATTGTGGAATAGTCTTCCTTCTGATGCGAAGCTAGCGCAATCAATTTATTCTTTTGAAAACTGCCTGAAAGTTTCACGCTAACATCCTCTAATATACTGTATATGCATGCTTTAGAAATATGGGTCACACCGTTTGGAACTTAATTCTTGTACTGTAAATAGTTGTATATAATTCTTTATTCTTTTCTGTATCATATTTGTAATTTTTAATAGTAACAGACGTCCCTCGTGAAAATCAACAAATCGTTGACGAGGCTAACGTCTTTAAATAAAGTTTACATACATACATACAATGGTGTACATAACACCAACAATCCGGCAACATAGAAAAAAAATCATGATTACTAGATTGCATTGATATCGAAGGAACTAGGCTCAGTTCCGAAAAATCACATACTCGAACCGACAATCATTAAGTCATGTCATTAAATAAATACATAAATTTTGCTTTATGCCCTCGCGTATGCAGTAATTTTGACAGTTGTGTTATTTTAAATTCCCAGGCACCTAAAATCTTTTGTCCTTAAAGATGATGTACACTCCGTTCTGCGCATCAGTTCTGCTCATAACAAAGGGGGACCCCCAGATATAAACATTGCCCAAATTTTGCATCTTTCGAACGTAGAGTTTATATTCATTTACAAGCATGGCGAACCAGAAAAGTGTTAGATATTCAGTTAGTATATCATATTTTACAAATATAGCAGTTCAAAACGTAAACAAAGTTCGCGCATGTGCACAGGAGTGGACATCATCTTTAAAACAATGTCGATTTCTTGGGAAATTTCGAAGTTGCATTTTTTTTTAATACACCCTGTATAATAAGAGTAAGTCTTATTTAGACAACGTTATTAGGCGCCAGCCCAATTTAGCATTTGGTCGGACAAACTGTAATTTGGTCGGAAAACATCCGATCTCCGACCGTTATTTCAGGCTCCGTAAAACATGCCATGATAAGGATGAAATTATAAATCTTTGTTTGCAATCACATGACTTCATCCAAATGACGGGCAATCAAACAACTTGTGGACGATTTTTCTCCTATCAGAATTGTTGTAGCAAGGAAAACTGAACGGTAATTCATCTTTTTAGTCGTACCTGCCCGTCAACTGAAATCCCAAAATTACGTCATTTCAAACAAAGAATACCAATGGCGAACAACAAAAGGGAAGCAAACAAAATTAACGACACTTACAAGAGACACGTATAATATTCTTCTCTGTTCAATACATCATTACTATCTATATACATATACTCAGGGTTCGTACAGGTTAGGAAGAGTAAAATTCAAGGACTTTCATGGTCATGTTCATGAAATTCAAGAGTTGAAAATTTAGTGAACTCCAAACAACTTTGTAAGACATGAACAAAATTAATTCACCAAAATATTCGCTTTTTAACGTCAAATATCCAACACTAAAGCATAAAGTCGAGCTCTTTCAAGCCGACTTGTTGATACATTCAAGGACTTTCAAGGTTTTCAATTTTTGTTGTCAAATTCAAGCACTTTCAAGTTTTGTACGAACCCTGATATACAATAATTTATATCATAAAATTTGGGCAGATGTTTATAATTTTTCCGAAATGAAGTACAGCAGGAATGTGTATGATGTCAAGAATAACATTTTGTGTAAACTGTGACCAAAATTCCATCAGCTGGTACGGAAAAAGAAAGCTAATTCGTCTATTAGTTCGTTCAATCCGATGACAAAAATTATTGCAAAAGTGCGTGAAAAAACCTTCCTGCCACTGTGAATGGACCCTTTGTTCTTAGCATTTGCTCACGATCAAGTTCTAACTTTTGAAATTTCCAATATTTCCCCACTAGCCACTCATGGACAGGTCGAAATTAAGGCCTAAAAATTTGTTTGGTTCCGGATTCCTGAGGGACCCTATCTCAAGACAGCCGACCCTAGTTTTCAAAACATTTTTGGCTCAGTATCCATCAAAAGTCAGGTGTGATTTGTCACACAAGGCTGGCAATAAGTGACACGCTCTTTTTGCACCAAATCTTAAAATAATCTACTCAATAAAAAGGACTGTGCATTAAAGTTCTGAACAAAAAATAGGACAAAAATCCGACATACCGAACTTTTTAAAGCATAAAACCGGAGGACCGAAACTAAACCATTTTGTAAGGAAAATAGACGGGGGATCTGTTGAATAATTTCCATTCTATTCATTACAGTTTGAGTGATTTTGAGCATTTTGCACATGATCTATATGACACTCCCTGTGACTGTTTACAACTCTCAATAAAGATTTAACGAATCAAAGATGCGACGTCTTTTTCGTGTGCCGTGTAGCCAGTTGCAAGAAAGCAAAACAGTATCCAGTACTTTGTATAAACTCCGAGTTCTTGGCAGTATATTGGCTTATATTTCTGGCACCGCGGACGTTTGTGTACTCTGTGCATACCACTGAAATAGCAACACGATCGCAAGGAAACAAAACAGTACCCAGTCCTTTGTATAAAAGCTGCTGAGCTGCTCGCGATTTGCAGTCTGGTAACGTCTCATATCACTTCGTACTGATCTAATCTGTTCTTTGAGTTCGGCTTGAGACTCACGCAATGGTTTCAAATATTGTACAAACGATGTGACGTCATCCTCGTCCATACTACTCATCCGATCCGGCGATTGACTACCGTACTTCCGACGTGTTCCGGTCTGTTTCGGATATCGTGGTGAAAGATCCTCGTCCCCCGAAGGTGGGTGAACCTCCATTGCAACCAAACTTTGTTGTTTGACCATCGGAGCATGGATCCGAGTGCGAGTTTTTACCTTGAATTCGTGTTCGTATTCAAATAAATCTGTTATACCGTCCCAGGGACGTACACTAAAACAAATGAAAGATATCAGGGATTTATTTCTTGCATCTACTACTGTAGTTACAAACCAAAATTCACAAATCTATTTGTATATAGGTAATAGGATAGTTTTCATTGCGATTTGGAAAGAACATTCACGAGTGAGTTTTTCAAAAACAATCAAAATTGCACGATTCCGAAGGGCGAAGACGATTTGAAGTCTGAAAGACTCACGAGTGTTTGTTTTTCATACATACGACCACCTTTTGCAGCAAAATTTCATGTAAAATACACCTTAACTTTGAGCCTACCCGCCCCCTGCCCCCTAGTGTCCGCCTCTTATAAAGATCTAACATGAAGTGAACACGTGATCTATTCATAACCTATATCAATCACCACGTGAACATCACTTACTTTTTATATTTGTAAATATATTTATTGATAGCTTCAGGATGACATGGATCTCTTTCAAACAATTTTGTAACCCAGTCCACACACTGCTCTTTCCTCTCCCGGTGACCACGACGTTGCTCTTCTTCAAGCTTAAATTTTTCTTCAGTTGCTCTCACCTTTAAAAAGTTAAAAACAAGAAACAAATAATGATAACAATAATTAAACATTGTTGGGTGGATGAGCGTAAAGCCGGTTTTCCACTAGGCGGAATTTTTCGCGCGGAGCGGAATTTTTCTTTGTCTTGTGATTTCTCGGGTGGAACTAATTAGAAAAGACAAAGAAAGATTCCGCTCCGCGCGCAAAATTCCGCCTAGTGCAAAACCGGCTTAATATCGAGAATTATCAAGGCCTCGATTTGTGTTATAGCTCTCGATATCGGCAAGAAAACAACAAGATTGTTTTAGTTTTCAGTTTTAAAGTTTAGGCAAGGACCTCTTCTCTTTTACTGATCTAATTCCAGTGGCGTAGCCAGAGCTTCATTTTTTTTTTGGGGGGGGGGGCGAAGCGAACGCCGAAGGCGCGAGACCATCTATGGAGGTCCGGGGGCATGCACCCCCGTGAAAATTTTGAAATTTAGAGTCCCTGAAATGTGATTTCAAGCATTTTGGGGGTGAAATCTTGCAGAATCCCAAGATTATAAAGTACGTCGAAGACATAAATTTTCCCAGACATTTCTAAGTTTCTACTCGCTTTTATATATGATACAGAATAAGTCTGAGAAGAATATTCATGTTATCATAATGCATATACATGTAAATCTAAACTAAATCTATTCCTCTTGGAACCATATCTACAACTGTTTTAACGAGATTTTAGAACTCAAGTTCTTCCAGTATTTCGTCGTTTTCCTCAGTCGAGACGTACTTAATCCGTTTCAGCTTCGAGGATGTAACGTGTACCCCCCCCCCATTTCTCTATGGATTTAGCCTTTTTCAGAGAATAGTTTTTTTTGCGATTGGGGAGGCGACCGCCCCCCCTTGCCCCCCCTTGGCTACCGCCCCTGTCTACTTCCATTCAAAATACTTGTCGAAAACTCTTAATGCTATCTTTGTAGCTCGTTTAGTGCCTTCAGCTTCTCGTCATCTAATAGTTTTTGCACATAGCGTCGTCCATTTCCCGAAGCAAATCTTGCCCTAGCTCTATTTTGTACTTCATTGCGATTTATGCTCCGAAGAATCGACGTCATATCTGCACATAGAAATCTATTATCTGCAGGTGTGACGTCAAAATTGCAGGATATCAAGAGTAAACAATCAAAACGAATATTGTATAAGTAATGCGTAATAATAATATGTTATTTCTGTAGAACTAACTGTATATTATGATTTCCTGCAATTTCATTAGCATGGCGATGGCATATGAAATATCGGAAAAATTCTGATATCCACAGCTTTAAAGCGTAGTGAACGTTTTAACAGAAAAGAATGTATAAGAATTGAGAGTAGTGTACCTGATCACTTGCACGGATAGCGTCACTGACATATCGCCATAAACTAGAATAAATAACCATACAATGTCTATATCACTGTCTATCACATACTTGTGCCTTTATCAGGGCGATATAAAAACGGTATGTCACTGATATCTTTTTTTTTGTCACTGACATCGTTTTTTGTCACTGATATCGCTTTTTGTCCTGCAATTTTAATAATTGTTACATTGGGGGCAATGATTAGTATTATCCTATACATAATAAGCAGGCGAGGGTCTTGCATTAGGGGCACACCATTAGATATCCTGTGAGGGGAAATATTTCTGCAAGTTCGGAGTTTTATCGAACTCTTTTACAGTGTAGTTGTAGGATTTTTTTCTTTCCCTTAATGCTTGTATGATTTTTTTTCAAATTCCACTTACTTCTGGGATTCAAATTCTTCTTGATTATCCAAATCCACAACATGCCGTTTTAACCTCGTGCTGCGCACCTCTGCTGTAGGTTCCCAGAATACGTCTGGTAATATTTCTTCCTCAGCCTGAGAACGAAAACATTACAATAAAATTGGGAGGTTCATGGCGGCTTCGGTGGCGCAGTCGTCAGAACCATTGAACTATAAATAAACTGGAAGGCTAACTCCTATGATGAAGGCCTATGATTTGATGAAGCCAAAATAGTTTTTCTGAGTTATGAGCAGAAATACTTGACCCCAAACGTCGGGCTATATATCAAATTGAAGCTATTGAAAATTGCTATTCGGTG